TCACATTGAGGTGAAGGTTAAATATTGAATCTGTTGTTAGAATTTACGTCGATGTTTAAAATAACCTTTGAAGGGATTTAAAAAGTTAAAATCTATAGTAAATTACGCACAATGTATATTATAAATAAAACGGACTTTTAAAATTAGCAGAGCCATATAAGTACGGATACGCACGCACGAGAGCACGCAAGCAAAAACGCACAAACCCATACCAGCACACGTACCCAGTGATGTATTTTTTATGTTATTGTATATTAAGACGTATTTATGCTTACAATATTGTATTATATATAAAGTTAAATCGAAATGCGTTAGAAATTTGTTATTCACGTTTTAAACCAAGTACAGATACCATCTCGCACAGGGTGTACATTAATAATCTACCACAATCTATTATTCACTTTATTCTAACTGCCTCCGTGGTCGAACGGTTACTATGCCGAACTGCCACGCAGAGGTCTCTGGTTCGATTCCTGGGCCGCAATATGGGGAGATTGAGCCATTTTCGTGTCATAAATCCATAACTTCAAAGTTTTGAAAGATAATTAGATGATTTTTTTTTGGATATTCTTGAATATATGTGCTTTTAATTAATAATTATTCTGTGGGTGTTAACACATTTTTAATAACGTAACTTTTTTAACCTTTTTTAAACTTAACATTTTTAAGAATGAAAAAGAAATCAAAAGCAATTACAAAGGCCATATTACAAAATTGAAGACTGTGTCTTAGATAAAGATGTGTGGAAAGACGATATGGGTCTAGATTCTGCACAGATTCACGGTGTATATGCCATCCAAACACGCACTATTTTTGCTTAAGAATTGTTCTTTTTTTTCTACCAGATTAGGTAAACCGTTAACGAAATTGAGAAATTAGATTTTTTTTTAATATTTGCGACAATTTTTGCGTCTGGTGTAGGAAAATTCACTCACTGCAGAAAGATGATTAGGTAATACACTTTCAGTAATCACAATAACAAATGAAAAAGTGTAATTTTTACTATGCTAACGTGATATTTATACATAATATTGATGTAAAGCGTGCGTGTGAAACGGTTTGATGAAAACTGTCTACCATTATGCGGTTTTCGATAATTTTATCATAGTAAATTGTATATGTGAACGAAAATACGGTGAGAAATCCTACATATGTTGCCTAAATAATAACCACGTTGTATAAAATATGATATAAAAGCCATATCAACTAACAAAAATGACTTCGTTAGCGTAGTCAGAACAAAATTCCAAATTTCATGTTTTAATACATTATATTTATTATTATACATAATAATATGTTACGCAAGGAAACCGCAAGGTTTTTTTTATTCTAATAAAAATTTGTTAGTTTGCCTATGAAACAACACTATTTATAGAGCACCGGCAAATTTCGGCAACAGTCAAAACTCTAATTGAATATTAAAGATAAGCAATATAACGAGATGTACATAGCTGATGTGTATATTTACGAAAGCAGATTACATACATGTGCTTCAAAAAAAAAAGTACATATTTTCAGCTTTCTAATATGGTATAACAATTGTATTATTACTATTGCTATTCAATATGAAATTATATCACTATAATTTCATATTGAACAAATCACAAATTTTAAATTATTTTAAACATTTTTTTCCGCATATTTGGCTGCTCTATGCCATGATATAGTAACAGACAGAAGTTTAAATGATGTATATTTGTATAGATTAATCTCTTAGCTTTAATTTGAGATATAATATGTACATGTAGCTCCGCATACTTTTGGGAAAACCATTTATGGTAATGGCTCTCTTATGCGGTTCCTCATAGTGGGCCGGGAGAAATATTTGTATGGCCTACATTTATTTCTCTCGAGAGTTTGAGTGTAATTTGTGGTTGTCTATGTGTGTGTCCATGGCACCCGCGATTCAGGGTTTCCCTAGTGCGGAGTTATGTTGAGTATGTGCGATGGTATTATTATTATTATTCTTTCTTGAACTCTTTAAGTGTATAAGTGTAAGTTGTATTTTGCACGGTATGAGAATTATTTTAAAAAATGTGTCTAGAGACTGTAGTCTCAGTACAGAGTACTAAAAAACCGATATCAAAAGTCATTTATCCCCTAGTTTGCTACCATTAATAGTTAAATATTTTCATAAAATTTAAATGGGCCCACTTCTGAGGTATCCTCTTTTCAACAAAAAATAATCATCCAAATCGGTTCACGAGTTAGTCATCGCGTAACATACATACAAAAAAACGTGCAGTCGAATTGAGAACCTCCTGCTTTCTTGAAGTCGGTTAAAAAAAAACTTTGTTTATGATATCAATTAACGGTGCCCCGGTGTATCAAGTGAAAAGCCCCTTTACTCTTCAAAACCGGAACGTAGTAATGCTCGTACATTGCTCGCATTTCTGCTCTGCGCCGAAAACAGGTACGTTAATTTGCTGGCCGAACTATGATGTATTTTACAAGGAGCTCTACTGCTACGAAACGTTTCTCATAAACGTACGTAAGTACTCAGAAACGTGTCAAAAGATCTCATTTACGTTGGCAGTATTTTTAATACAATCTTTTTTTAATTTGCTCTTCCAGCAACTACGTTACTTTACGAAAGGACTCACAATTATTGCAGTTAATTTATGTATAGAGAAAATTCAATTATCTTTACGAATAGGAAATGAAACTATTTTTCCGGATTTAAATCGCGTATATTTGTTTTTTCAAACCAACCAATATTTCGGGCTCTTTACAGGTCTCATGGTCACGGTTGACTGAGGTGGTACAGTCATCAACCAGTTAATGTCTAATATGCAAATAATGCAAACCCTATTTTTTCACTATAGTTACAAAAGTTATTAATTATATACCTTATTTTTAATTTTACAAATAAACATTCCAATTTACGCTACATCATTTTACAAATCATTTTATTGAAATTTTTGTAAAGTTAAATTTATTATTAATTAATAATGGAAATTAGAATAAATTGAAACATATTAATTAATACGGCATTCTTTTGTCTGCAGGATTTTTCATCAGAGGAAATACTGGATCCTAATAACTGGTGGTACGGAGAAACCACCTTTCCTGTTGAAATTAGGATGTTTTGTAATTTCAATGGCCTCTCGCAGCATCCTAGGTAGATAACGGACTTCTTTTGCGAGGACCTGGGGTTTGTCAAACTTCATTGAATGTGTAGGTTTATCCATGACATGCTCGCAGACTGCAGACTTGTTAACACGATAGTATTTGACATCAGCTATATGTTCTTTACACCTGTAATGACATGTAAAGGGCCTGAAACGTTAGTTTGTTTGAAATAACAAATATACGCGATTTACCGGAAAAATAGTTTCATTTCCTATGTGTAACAATCGTGAAAACCTAGGAACTCGATTTATCTTTACGAACTTTAAATATAATCGAAGTTCGCCTTTATAATTAAAAATATAGGTTACCTACATCTAGTCCCACGGCTTTTATAATTAGGGGTTTTAAATTGAATAAAACATACTCCCTACACAACGTGACGACCTCGGTGGCCTTACAGTATGGGCGCCAGGATAAGGAGGTTCCGGGTTTGATTCCCGGTAGGACCAAATTGGGAAATGCACTTTTCTAAATTGGTTCTGGACTGGGTGGGCGTTCTGGGAAGTACCCTAGAGTTAATTCCGTTGCTCTAGTACTCATAGTGCTGGGAATTATATAGATACACACATTAACTGTACAATGTTATTTTTAAACAACCCAAAATCTCTAATTAAAAAACAATAAATTCTAATTATAAAATATCAAACACGGCATTCTGTTACTGTACGATTTTTCGATGTTCACTTTTTATTTATTCTATTTTCAGGTAAATTGTTGGGCATATGTATAATAACGCACGAATAACCTGATCTCATATGAGACTCGTTATTCTATGAGTGCCAGAGCATCACTGTTAGCACTGGACCACTATCCAAAAAACGTTCGTTTTCGAAATTTGGTCCAATCGGACATGGATTTGCTCTCAGTGCAAACTAGATGTTTTTATGATGAGTGTAAACAATTTCATTAGAATTTCTTATATCATAGAACAATGGTTGCAGGTTATCATTAGAAAACAACTTTTGAATATTGCCGAAAGTTACGATTGAAAAAAAGAATCCTGTAGAAACCTGCAATTCATAAAAAGAAGAAATACTAATGACATCAGTTTATACGCATCCACTGCTGGATGCATGGAACTTGTCAACTTATATCCCAGGGTGACGGGCGCAGTGGCAGTGCACCTTAGATCTTTGCGTTTTAAGCCTCTAGGTGTCACTGCAATTGTTATGGATAGGCCTGTCGCTTACCACCAGGTGCACGACTTGTTCATTCCGTCATTTGGATTTATCTTAAAAAAATAAAAAGGTCTTCCCTGAGAACGCCAAAAGTAGAAATTATTTAAATGAAAAATAGATAATTACTTACTTCAGTAATAGTTATATCATCTTTTTAACAAACTTCACACACCAAGTGTGTCTGATTTATAATTAAAATTGATAACTCAGTCGACTACAAGAAAAACTTTTTTAATTAAGACACTCTCGCTGTTATCCGACGAAATGCTTTTGTTATATTTCTTGTCACGTTTTTGACTGTATCCATCCAATTGATATTTAGAGTATATTTTATATTACAGCGTATTTTTATCGGAAATACGACAAAAGTATGCTATTTAACGAGACGACCAATCGGAAATTCCAATTCATTAAAGAGAATAAAATTTTGCCCATTCGTGGCTAAAAAATGGAAATCGATCGTAAAGTGGACCTTACCGTAAGCAATCTAATAATCAAATCCAAAAGCAAACCTGAAAAAGTTGCCCACGAAAATTGGTAATGCGCTATCAAAATCATACCCTACCCAATCTTCTTAAACCGGGCACTATCATCGTATAATATAAAGTATTGGAATACACCCCTACCGTTATAGAAATCTACCCTGAAGCCTCAGTCTCGTCTCGACTGTCGTAAAGAGTGGACGTGTTTGAGGCCCTCATTTCAGCTGCAATACAAACTTGCGCTTGTGGATTGAAAGATATATTAGTGAGTTAGTGTGACTTTTTGTGCTGTTCCGGGAATATTTTGTTTCAGACTCTGTAAGTATACAAGTGCTTTGTAATTTATGTTATGAATTAAATTAAGGTTGGTCATTTATTTAGTTAAGGGTTTGATATGGATAATGGATTTTCGCGGTTTACTAAAAAAGTACATGAGTTCCGAACGCACCTTTATGGAAATGAATTTACTTTTAGGACTTATTAATTTACTTAACTGATTTATTTGTGTTTTAAATTATTGTAGGTTCTTCTGTAATTTGACAGAAGCAAGATTTCTGATTATTATATTAATAAATTCAACAAAATTATAACTTTCCAGTGATAGTGTTCAAATTTCTTGTAGCAGTAGGGTGCCTTGTGAAAGAGTTCATCCAGGGTACAGCTGCCAAGCAGTCATATTAGCGTTACTGTGTTCCGGTTTTGAAAGATAAGGGTCTTGGTGAAATTACAGGCTTATAGGACTTGTCAACTTATGTCTCAGGGTGACGGGCGCTGTGGCAGTGTCTGGCAAGTCCTGCGCCTTGTGGTACGCGACACGCCTGTCCATACAATCTGTGGGGTAAAGCCACTATGCCCACTACCAAGTAGACAAATCCCATGCGCCTGTAATTATAATAATAACCAGCACCCTTACCGTTAAAAACCGGAACGTTTTAATGCTCACATTATTACTTGGCGGCCGAAATAGAAATAATACAATAAGATGGCAGTTCTTTCCTGAACGGGGTCTTCGACAAGGAGCTGCCTAATCAAATAGCTAGTAAAGTTTAAGGCATATTTCAAATGCTTGAACGCAACTGCCCTGTTTTCAAGTAGGTAAAATTTGATAATTTACAACCTGTATTAACAATTCACTAACAAAAGAGCAATTAATTTACAATTCCGTTCTCTTTGAATGATTTATGAATCCATATTCCATAATAACAATAATCGAAACACGCATAGGTGATTATTTCCTCAGCTTTTATCAAAATTACAACGTCAAAACTGAATGTCTATGGAAAAAGCTTATTATACAGGGTCATTACTTACAACGCGTCAACTAGATTATATGCAGAGTAAGGTAGAGTTTTTTTTGAAGTTGAAACGTTATTAATTCTTCATCACCCAGTTTTTGCTGAGACCCCGCATATTTATACTGCGCGATGCTTTATTTAAGAGGGCTGTAGAATTTTTGTGATTTGAGCAAGTTCCAAGTATTTTGGTCATTTTGATACACTGATCATGACATTTTAATACTTTCGGCATATGGATCGGAGAGAACCTACATATATTGAGCCCCGTTCAATACGTGATAGGATCAATTTGGGAGTCGTATATTTCTAAATTAGATTTGGCTTTGTGTTCTGGTTCTGCATAAATTTGAATTGTCATTAGAATTGTATACTTAAGAATACGGCCAGTATCTACAAGCACAATGTATATAGAGTTTACCATCGTAATTTTAGAAGCAATAGAGCTCCTTGTGAAAGAATTAATCCGGGGACTGCCATCTTACCTATTTCTACCGCCAAGCAGTAATGTGAGCAATACTGTATTCCGATTTAGGGTGCTGGTGAAATTACAGGAACGTGGAACTTGCCAACTCATGTCTAAAGGTGACGGACGCAGTAGCAGTGTCCTTCAGACCTTTGCGATTTGCACTAAGCCCTAAGCCACTTAGTACCATAAAAAAATCATAACACGCTTTAAACTTTCTCGTTGCATTATACTAACATTTCATAACGGAAGTGAACGCGATTAAACAATTTAATAAATATTTGCATACCTCGAAAAACATTCAAACAATTTCAATCGGGAGGTTAGTTTCAAATTATGTGCAGCAAGGGATCAGATTTTCGGATAAACTCAACATCAATTCTCGTGGGAAATGAAACTAATTTTCCGGATTTAAATCGCATATATTTCATCACGGTTGAGTCAACCGTGACCATGGGACCTGTAAAGAGCCCGAAAAGTCGGTTTGTTTGGAAAAACAAGTATACGCGATTTAAATCCGGTAAAATAGTTTAATTTCCTTTGTGTAATAATCGCGACAACCTAAGACTCGGTATCGTGACCGACTGATTACTAGAAAACGCTTTTGGTGCAGAATAGTGACACGGCTAGTATTGTGTGTGTCGGTATTTTGAAAAATTTGACGAGAGTGGATGAAGATTCCATCGCCGAGACGGAGACATAACGTCGCATCTTCAGTTCGTGATGACGGCCTGTACAACCCTAGCCGAAACGTCACAACAACATGTAGGTTTCAGGCAACAAATCACAAACTTAAATGCGCATAACTTCCTTATATAAATACGACCTTAAAAATTCAAGTAGCTGTAAAGATCCTTGTGAAAGAGTCAGTCCAGGGAAGTACTGCCACCTTACCTATTTCTGCCACCAAGCAGTAACGTTAGCATTACTGCGTTCCGGTTTTGAAGGGTAAGGGTGCTAGTGAAATTATAGGTACACGGGACTTGTCAACTTATGTCTCAGGGTGAAAGGCGCAGTGGTAGTGCCTCTCAGATATTTGCGATATAAGACTCTGAGTGGCGCTGCAACTGTTATAGCCTGGCGTGTAGCTAACCATAACAACTTGTTTGTCCCGTCACTTGATGTTATAAAAAAAAATCGTGGAATTACATATTTAGCAAAGTTTTATTGAAATAGATTACCGGAAAGTGCACGAAACCGGATTCATCACCTAGTTTGCCGTCCTCAGAGGTGGAATATTTTCTTTAAATTTAAATGGGACCAATACTGAAGTACCCTCCTTGCAATAAAAAAAGATTTATTAAAATGGGTTCGGAAATGCCGGAGCTATCGCGTAACATACTTACAAAAAAGGGGTCGAATTGTGAACCTCCTTTCTTAAGTCGGTTAAAAATAGGTGCTAGGTAGAACCTCTTGTAGAACCCAATATATCATACCACCCCTAACTTAAGTGATTTTTGCTGAACCTTAAAAATACCATAGAATTATTATTGTTAACATTGACCTAAATTACATTATTATCTGTACTTTTGTTTTTAGTTTAACTCTTTAAAGCAACTTGGAGAAAGGATCTTACCGTAAAATGAAATATCAGAATACGGATAATACGGGGTACCCCAAAGAACAAAGGGGTACACCGTTTCGCTATATGTGGGTATCTCAATAAATAACAGGCTGTACAGTGTGGTTTCTAAGTACTTCTTCTACATAGAAAAATATCAACACCATACTAACAAAATTTACATTAAACATTTTATAACGAGTCAATATAAGCACTAAGGTAAGAAAATTGGTGACATTTTTGTGTGCGGCATTGTTTAAGTACTGTCAACCCGTTCAGGGTTAAATTGTTTAATCGCATTTATTCCCGTTTTGAAATGCAAATCAAAGTATCCGTTGATAAACGGGTGCTACCACAATTTGAGAGACTTCATGAATTTTCCTATGAAAAAACTAGTGAGCTCTTCATCACTAACCCGCTTATACGTCCCACTGTTAGACATGGGTGTTTCTCAGGCGAGGGTTTAGGCCATAGTCCGCCACGTTGTCCCAATGCGGGTTTTTAATATAACGCACTGTCTTTATACTAATAATTCCTATGTAAGAAATAACTGTTTTCTCAAAATGCATCTGCAAAAGCCGCCTTTTCTATTATATACCTACATATTTCTTGAAGCAACTGGCAGACCTGATTGATATATTTTATAAATAGTTCCTACACTTTAGAAACTTGCAGGCGTGGACACAACAACTCATGGAAATTTCGTTATGTGGTAACGCACACAGTCACAACCTCGCACTAGGGAAACTCTGTGTCGCGGGCGGCATGGACACACACATACAACTCTACAAATTACACCCAAACTCTCGAGCAGAATAAATATAGGCCATACAAATATTTCTCCCGACCCGGAAATCGAAACCTGGACCTCTGCGTGGCCGACCAGCATGATAACCGTTCGGCCACGGAGGCAGTTATAGGGTTGGGGACTTCACACGTCGTAAACCTTCGACGTGCAGGTTTCGTCACGATGTTTTCCTCGGTAAATTTCAAACAAAATTTCGCACGTGAATTCCGATGGACTCAGAGATGCGAGCCCAAATTTGAAACCAAGACCTTTATTTGAAAGACGGTAGGTCAAACCATACGGCTATCACAGCTACTCGTCAACTCTGTTTTTTGATAATTATTAGAGAGTATTAATTATTTAGTACATTCCAACAGGGTATATTTGTACTTAATAATTACCTGTGCAATGTCTGTACTAACATTGTTTGCAATAAGTAAAATAATTACGATACATTATTCTGCAGTATCTGGATCTCCTTTAAGGAGAAAGTTCAAATTTATTGTTTATCACACTGGCTTTAGTGTAGTTTGAGGAATTCACACATCTTCCAAGATTAATTAAAACCTGTGGAACGTACAGGTTTTCATTCTTTTTTATTCTTCAGCGTAAAAGTTAGTATTACAATCTACTCGACTCAAAAAGGTGAAGTAGTGACATAATTGATTATTCTAGGAGATAAGTGTTTTTCAACTTACACGTTTTGCACAGATCTCATAAAAAGAAAGGTTTTAGAACTTAATCTGCCAGGTTGGTCCCATGTGGGTCTTGGACTTCATACTATGTGGAGATTCTCGATGTGTGTGGGCTTCATGACGATGTTATTCTTCACTATTAGCGAGAGTTCAAATATTCACAAATTTATTTAAGAAGCTTAACTCATGAGTACTAGTCGCCATTGGGACTCGAACCATAGACTCCATAGTCGAGGTATAGAGCCATCTCTATATCGCTAATAATAATAACAGAATTTCTCTCACTCTCATTATAGGTATTGGTCATACAAAAGCAATATACAGAAGTAAATTACACGTCACTAAACAAATGAAAATTAAAACACCTATAAAATATAAACGGCACCTAAACGTTCTTTCGAAAATTGTAGCTATTTAAAAAGTTTTTAAAAACACTCTGTATAGGAAATATCGTGACAAAAGTCTATAGAAATTCAGTAATAAACCGATAGCATCTCAAAATGACCTGTTAATTGGG